CTGCCCATGCGCATCTATCATTTCCATACCCCTGCATCAGCGCATCATTCCCACCTGCGCAGCGTATCCCATTCCACCTTTCTGCGCACGATCCGATTTCACCTGCCTTCAGTCGCATCTCATCCAACCTCGTCACATCGTATCCATCTCCTACCCTGGCGCATCGTATTCCTTCTAACCCGTACGCAGCGTAATTCAATTCCACATCTGCACAGCGTTATGCCATTCCACCTGCAGCGCGTATCCAATTCCACCCTGCACAGCCGTATCTCAAGTTCCATTCCCTGCATCAGCGCTCCATTTCAAACCCTGCACAGCGCATACCATTTCCCCGCTGCTACACGTATTCCATTCTAACCTTTCTGCTTGATTGAAAAAAAATAATAACATGCGCATTCCATCTCCACCCTGCGGGCAGTCACATCCATTCCACCTTCTGTCTCAGCGTATCCATTCCTACCTGACAGCGCATCCATTCCACCTCTTGGCATCAGCGCATCCTTTTCCCACCTCTCGGCAGCGTATTCCATCTCACCGCTTGCATCAGCGTATATCATTTTTACCTGCTGCGCAGTCGCTAATTTTTTTTATTGCCATTTTTGTTTTTGTTGGTTTGTTCCACTCTTCACAGAGCATCCATTCTCACCCGCTGATCAACGCGTAATCATTTGTTAACCTCTGACATGGATCTCATTTTCTTACCTCTGCACAGGTCGTATCCATTCACAACCTTGCACAGCGTTCCATTCTAGCCCTGCCGTACGTGGTCTAATCCGCCCTGTTACTTGCTTGCTGTGTGTGTGAAGGAGATAACAGAGCGCGTGGAGGCGATAATTTGCAGATCGATGTGAACGCGGCGGCGCGAAAAGCAGTTGTTGGACTGCGTATACCTGCCGTGACGGTGGGCATTCCCACTGAGCCCCCGCCTCCTCTCGCGCTTCTCCTCGAGCTCGGTCTCCCGCGGATTCCGCTGCGTGTCGGCGCGCGCACACGTCCCTGCTCGGTCAGCAGTGCGCGCGTCCGCCGCGACCGACTGACTCCCTTTGTTGTTTTTCTGAGGGCGCGGATGCGGTGTCGGGGCCGACCGCCAGTTCTAACACGGTTGGCGGGAGTGTGTCGTCCGAAGATACAGTCAGTTGGTGAGTACTGCATGACGTGTGCCTGTGCCTTTGGTCCGATGGATTGGGGTTACTTATTTATCATTTATATTTAGAATTTTGTCTTATTTTCATTACATTATATATACAATGATATATATATAATATATTATATATATATGTATCATATATTATGAATGTTATCACATTGTATAGTTCGATAGTTTAAAAATGTGTATATTGGCGGTACGAAGAGAGGTAGAAGATGAATGGGCGCAGAGAGAGAGAGAGAGAGAGAGAGAGCAGCAGAGAGCGGAGAGAGAGAGAGAGAGAGAAAGTAGAGAGAGGCCGAGCTGCTCCAGGCGACATGTTGATCCCAACACGCACCACTGCTCTCACCCCTCCAGCTTGCAGGAGGTCCTGCGCGAATACCTCGACATGGATACGCATCGCAGCACCATCCCACCGCGCGCTCCTGCGCAGTTTCGCTCTGACACCCAGCAACAACGTGCGCAAATCTGCTGCATCTTCTCACTTTCGCCCGGCAAGAGGGGCCTGGCGTCCGCGCGGCGCGGGTACCGCCGCACGCTGTTCCGCTTGAGGGTCGAGCCACGCGATCAGCATGAGATTTCTGCGCGATTTGCAATTCGGCTCGGGTCTCCTATGGCGCGCTCCGCAAGCGACGACTATTCTCCGCCCCTTGTGTTGTGCCACACCGCCTGCCACCCTGCGGCGGCCGATACGTCGGACTGCGGCGGCCCGGCCGAGGGCCGCCACGAGCTGGTGTGCGCGAGCCAGCCGCTCACGCACGTGACGGTGGTGTTCACACCGCTGCTGCGCTTTGTGCGCGAGGTCGAGGACGGCATCGGCGGCACGTGCACGCTGCGCGAGTTCCTCACCGACTACGTGACGAAGGTGTTCATGGGAGAGGTGCAGTGCGACATGGCGCACCGCGCCGAGAGCGCCACCTGCAGTAAGTGGCAGCGTCGGTGGCGCCACCTGTAGTTAGTGAGCTGCAGATGGCGCCACCTGTAGTTAGTGAGCTGCAGATGGCGCCACCTGTAGTCAGCGAGGTGGGACTGGTGCGGCTTGTAGTCGGTCTAGGTTGAAGCGAGATGTAGTATGATGTGTTTATGTATTCGGAAATTAATCAGCTAATGAAATGTCATTTGGATTACTTTCGTATTCCCTGTGTACTAAAAAGGTTTAGCATGGTTACCCATATAAAGCACTGTCATTGTGTGTACTATCACAGCGAACATGTACTTCGTATAATATCATACTAATTATTGTTACGTGTTTGCTATAATGTCATTATGCTATGATTATCTGCATATGTTTGTGGTATCACTGTATTCTACTACAACTTCTGCACATCTGTTGTCAGTTCGCGATGCAATGAAGGCAGTGAACACTGATCATGAAACACTGAAAACACTGAACCTGCAGCGACCAGTGCTTCAGGTGAGAGTAACGGCAGAGATGGACGCTAGATGAATGGGGAATCTAGTTTGCGATTGCTCCTGCGATTCCCAATCTCTGTAGCTGTGATCGGCGGTAGTAACGAACATATTTGTATCAGGAATAATTCCATTTCTGTTATTGAAAGTTATCCTGAGATTCTTTGCAGTACAATACATGCGCACGTATACCATGTATATTACCATCGTTGTAATCATGACTCGCTATGAAACACATCACCATGGAATGAATGAATGAGTGAGTGAGTGAATGAATAAGTGAAAGCTGTGATATGCATATATCTTCTGTGCATTTCTAAGGATATGTACCAGACGTATCTCCCTGCAATAGAGTAGTAATACTGTATTATATGTGGAGTGGCCAGTTTCTGCTAGCATGGTGATGTGTGCATATTTCTATGTAGAGTGCAATCACGATTCATCAGTGTGTGGAGGAACTGAGGCAGCTTGCCCAGGACTTACCCCTCTACGCTGAACAGTTTCTCACAATGATTGTGACCATCCTGAAAGACTACAAGGAGATATGCCAGGCCTCATATAGGTAATGTTCAATCTAATCGCTGAACGTAAAACATAGATGAATATCTGTATGAATATGTAAAGTGGAAATATACGGTATCTTTTCTCTTAAATGTAAGCTTTCACGTGTCTCTCTTCGTCAGGCTACAAACCTTTCTTTCTAAATTTTATTTATATATTTAATTGGCCAGACAGGCTAGGAAGGAGGTGGATATGCAAACGTGTAGTGGTACAGGAACATTGAGTAGGCCTTGCAGATAGAAAATATACGATGCCTGTTGTATGTGTTTATCAGCATATTATCAAGAGCTAATATAGGTATTATTAGCTCTTGATATTACATATTCATTTTAGTCACTCATCGCAATTGTGTTGCAGAGACATAGTGCAGCCTGATTCTGAAGAGAAGAGAGTGATCAGTGCTAACTGGGCTAAGGACGAAGACTTAAACAGATTTCTTAGGTACACATATTTCACACTGCATCTAGGTAACTTATTGGCTCACTAACGACCATATTACAGTGGTAATATTTTTACGAAAATGAGGTAATGATGAACCTTTCTTTTTGAATTTTCCACATATAGATGCACATATGGTGGTCATTTTTTATTTTGTGCTAATTAACTGCTGGATGTGTGAATGACTGCACACTGCCCAGTCTTTAGGAATTCCACACGTGATTTTAAGTATACCCACCACTATTTTTCGTGACATGATCGCTCTTTTGCCAAAAACATTACCGGTAATACTCAATAACATATACGTATTTATCTGTGGTAATATTAGCATCTAGAACTAAATTTCTTGTTTATGGATTGGAGCAAATCACGTCTAGAAACCTAAAATTTTCTGCATGCAAATTCGTAGCGAATCGTGTCGTACAGTGTGAGCAGTCAACTGTTTTAACCTTCTGATGGTAGGGAACTTGCAAGCTCCTGGTCTTATTTTTAAAACAGTACAGTCATTAAATATGTAATAATAATAATAACAATAACAATTATTGTGAACTGCTGTATATGTAACATCAAAGACTATTAAGAAAGTATTTATAGGCAGCGTAATAAACGTGAAAATAACGTATTGATTTTAGGCTTGATATCGCTAACAGCGCGAACATTGCGCTAGCACGGGCCGTAGAAATCTTTGCTACACCCGCTGGACGGTTGCCTGGCAGAGCAATGCAAACGTGTCAACAACATCGGAGAATTTGAACAACAGTGGAGATATTTTCAAATACCTTTTATAAGACAACGCGCAGTGAAATGGGAAGCACTAGAGTTTATTTTGTCATAAGGTAGTGTGATTATTCATGCCACGAAGTATTTGCTAGTCTAGTACTGTAGAAATTAGCGTTTGGATGCGCATTGTGAGGCTTTAACAGCTGACACTGATGTGCTCAGACATAACAACTGACACTTAAGCGTTCAGCCACTTAATAGGTCACACTTGGTGTATAAAAAACATGGGCACTGGAGCACATAACATTTGACACTTAAAGACTAAGACAACAGCTCACTCATAAACACACTAAAGCACATAACAGATGTAAGCTTATTGTCCATATGATTTTGCTATTCTGAAATGCACTGCGTCGGTGATGAATCGATCATATATAAAGGAGGATTTTTTCGAGGAACGAGTGCAGTAGATGTGCACACATTTTATTTTGTTTCTGATGATAGACGTAGATGGTAATACGAGGTATTTCCAAGGGTATAGTAATTGGTTGTGCTGGATTCTTCATCTGCACCAACTGTACACAGTATCAGTGCTGTGTCTTTATAATAAATTCAATTAACTAATATAATTAATAAATTAAGATGTTGGTGGTTGTTAAAAAATCGCAACATGAGAAGATTATGACTCGACTGGTTTCTAATTTGCTGCCTCGGTGTTCCGCAGAGACCAGGTGAAGGAGGTTCCTCAGCGGCTGCATGCTTACATGAGCAAGAAGCACTACCTGCATGCCAGTGAGGAGCTGGTCAGCGCATGTGAGTACGGCCGAGAATCCACGGCAGAACCTCCATCTTTCTTCTTCATCTGCTGTCGAGGAAGATCCCCCGTAGAGTCACAACCGACAAAACTCCTTCCTGGGATGAGCAGTATGATATATTGGGGCACTAAGAGCCTCAAGGAACTGTCCACGATTTGATTTGATGAGGCAATGATTTCGTAGTGCAGGAGTTGATGAGATAGACAGTCTGGTATAAGATGGTGTATTCTCTGTGGTTGTAGTGGCAAGGCTGGAGGAAGACCTGAGTGAGGTGGATGGATTGCACGACCTTAGACTAGAGCTGCAAGACAAGAAGGCGGTTAGTGTGTGCACGCATGCATGTGTGTGTGTGCATACATGTGTGCTTTATTTGTGCATGTGTGTGTGCATACATGTGTGCTTTATTTGTGCATGTGTGTGTGCATACATGTGTGCTTTATTTGTGCATGTGTGCATTCGTTCGTGCGTGTGTGCATTCTTTTGGGCATGTGTGTGTGTTCCTGCGTACATGCATGCGTGCATGCCTGTTTGCATGCCTGTTTGCATGCATGTGTGGATGCGTGTGTGTGTGTGTGTACATGTGGGCCTGTGTGCATTCGTTCGTGCGTGTGTGCGTACGTGAGCATGTTCGTGTGTGAGAAGCTTGAGTCGGTGTGTAGTAGGTTTTTGTTGTTGTTGTTGTTGTTATTTTTGTACTTTCTAGTTTATACCAGCAGAAACCAGATGAGTAGCTGACACTCGTATCCTCTATGGAAGCTACGTAAAATAACTAGCAATAATATATATGCTACGATATATTATAATACTTCTCACATGATGTCCCGCCATTATCGAGACATAGAACCCCGCAGCGATAACAGGATAACAGGCGTCGTTGTCGTTGCATGCTCTTGTGTAGAAGCTGCATCGCGAACTAGTCGAGGAGCTCCACAAACATCTGTACATCCGAAGTACGAGCGACATCGTGCGCAGCTTCCGCCGCCAGGGGTCAGCACGCTACGGTCAGCACGGCCTCGCCGCGGTCAAGGCGACGGGCGTGTCAGCGTCCATCCTCGGCTCCGCGCTGGGCACGCCGTCGCGCCTCGATGTCTCGGGTCTCGGACGCCCGTCGATGCCGACCCATCGCCGCTCACACTCACGTGAGTCTCCTGCCTCGCCGAGACCACGTGCCTCGCGTCTCCACGTGTATGCTCGGCCGCGAACTCACGATCAGCAGTGTAATGTTACCTACGATTACCTGTGTGGTCGATAGGAACACGTGTGATGCACCAATGTGGAGATTTTCGTATTGTTTATTGTATCTCTGTAGTATTTTATGTAATTCACCTGTGCGTTTGATAGGAACACACATCTGCACATAGTACATCAGTGTAGAGGTTTTTCGTATTGTTTATTGCATATGTATGGTATTTTATGTATTTTATGTCTTTGATGCAGAAATATTGATTTCATATTGTTTGATTGATTGCACATTGAACATTGATTGCATAATTGTTTATTGCATATTTATGTTAGTTTATGTATTTTATGTCTTTGATGCAAAAGTATTTGATTGCTCAATGCACAAATGCGGAGGTTTGTATTGTTTCCCTGCCTGCTGTGCTGCTTAGCGTTATATATATTGGATGTGTTGATGTGGATCTGTGTCCAGCTGTTAACTGTCCATCGGTCATTGTTGTGTGACAGGCTCACGTGCGCTGGAGGTTCCGTCGCCGCCGCCCGCTGCCGACCGCAACACCAGCGCCATCTGCGAAGATCTACACGAGATGAACCCGGAGGAGAATAGCGGTCACTTTATGGCAATCCTCGTAGAGTCTCTGAACGTGCTTGGCAAACTGCCAGATGCAGTGGAGGTAATTGGCATGAAGATTTCAGTGAGGGAAGTCTTAATGTGAAACCAGCTGGTCACCACCCAGGAGCGACATGATAGTTATATTAATTCAAAAGTGCCATATGCAATAATCAGCAGAACGAATCACATTAAATAATGCTGGAGAGTCAGATATTTGCAGTGTCTAAGTAGAGTCTCATTGAAAGCTTTCAATGGTAATTAGCTTGATAGGTTTTGGCATTTCATCACATTTCACATGTTAGTAAAAACGTACATGTGTGTGTCATCTGCTCTGTCAGTCTGTTTCCCTACCTTCCCGGCCTCCGATCCCAATTTTCACAGGTGTTTTCCGGTCTGCCCTGCCTCCGATCCCACTTTTCGCAGGTGTTTACCTGTCTACCCTGCCTCCTATCCTAATTTTCCCAGGTGTTTATCTGTTTGCCCTGCCTCCTATCCCGCTTTGCACAGGTGTTTTCCAGTCTGCCCTGCCTCCGATCCCACTTTTCACAGGTGTTTACCTGTCTACCCTCCTATCTTACTTTTCATAGCTGTTCACGGTACCAACTTTCTACTGCATCATATCGGTCGTCTGACTGCTGCATCAGCCCTGCCTTCCGTCTATGCTACCTTGCACAACGTATCCATCCTACCCTGCGCGCACTGATTCCATCCTACCCTGCACCACTATGGCACTATCTCACCTGGCTGACACACGCTCGTCATATGCTGACCTCTAGCAACGTGTGTCACGTGTCTACCATGCACAGCGTATCTATCCTACCCTGCGCACCAAAACGATTCTACACTGCACACAGTCTCTGCCACACGCTCGTCATGTGTTGTGTGTCTACCCTGCACAGCGTAACCATTCCACCCTGCACATCGTATCCATTCCACCCTGCACAGCGTATCCATTCTACCCTGCGCAGCGTATTCATTCCACCCTGCACAGCGTATCCATTCTACCCTGCGCAGCGTATTCATTCCACCCTGCACAGCATATCCATTCC